TAGAGATTGAGACCATAAACTCATGTTTATAATGTTTACTGAGGTAAATATGAAAAATATCAATTATTGACAAAGTGTTCCATAAAATATTTTACTTTTTTTTGTCTTCCCAGTGTCTTCCACACAGTGAGTTATACAGCTTCTTCAGTGTGCTTTCACACTGACTGTAATCCTGCGGGCTTAATAATAATAATAATACTAATCTTTATCGAAAAGTTTGGCGCGCTTCTCCTCACACAGCGTTGCCAACAGCGGCGTGAAAAATACCTTAAAACGTGCGGCCCGATCGGGAATAGTGTGCTATCTATTTTTCGGAGAGATTCGCCCAGCGGTTTTCCCGAAAATCCCAAAAAACGGAGCAAAATCGCCCCATTGACTTGAATGGGGTTTCGGGGTGAAGAGAGCAAAAAAAACACTAAACTTTGGACCCATATTGACTAGCCGTACATTTACGTAGAAACATGATTCAAAGTTTAAAACGTAGACAAAACGCTGCACTTTATTGAGCCAAAGGGACATTTTGATAGCTAGCACAGTTTTCATGAAGTCACAGATTAAGTTTCAGGAAAATTTTGTTTCTGTTTCAGATTTTATAATGGGTGTGTATTGCACGGCTCGTTAAGAGCTAGAGTGAGAGCATAGCTGTCAGAGTGGAGCGGAGCAGGAAAATATTCTGTGATTTTTCCAAACAAATTGCTCCAGCTCCCACAATTTTTACTCTTTATACACCATTTTGGCCAAAAAGCTTGGAAATGTTGTGCTGGTCGCAGTAAAATGTCTATGGAATCCAACGGACTTACACATTTGGCTCAAAGAGCCGCAGAGCGACATGAACTCCAACCAACTGCTCCATTAGACTCCATGTTAAATCTCACCACTCATTTCTCAAAGAAAGCAGACGGTACCAGTTTTGCATATTGCGCTTGAGCTCACATTATTAACACCACAAACATAAAAAACACATCTGCGCGTTCGGCAGAGTCTTATCTTTCTCACGGTATCCATATTTTGGCACTCAGACTTTTTGTTAAAAGGAGGCAGGGGTAACATACTACCGGTAACATCGTCGTGTGTAGTTATATATTGCGACGTCTTCGGGCAGTAGAAGCCACACTGTCAAAATTTCTTTAGGAATTTTCTAGTTGATTAGATACTGTTGGATCGGTAGCTCTAGTGAGTATTTAAAGGCAGCAGGACGTGTGTGTGTGTGTGTGTGTGATTGAGTCAGAATAAACTAAAGAGTGTGTGTTCATGGGGATGAAGGAGCAGCAGTGAAGCTCATTGATGTGTTCTGAATGGAGATCTATGGATCAGAGGATATTGATTCATTACTGAGAAGTGTTCTCTCTCTTTTTCTCAGGATTGTTGAAATCTACAGCCGTCGACTACAAGGTATTCCGCGTTTAAGTGAAAGCTAAAGTTCAGTGTTTCTCCGTCCGGCCTGGTTCATGTTTGTGCGTCTGTCTGTGCGTCCACAGTTCAGGAGAGGTTGACCAAACAGATCGCTGTGGCCATCACCGAGGCGCTGCACCCCACCGGGGTCGGCGTGGTCATCGAGGCGACGTACGTATACGTTCAAACTGGAACCCAGTTTTTATTAATTTTCCCTTTGGTTTCATACGCTCTTCGTTTCCTTTACTTTCACTTAATCCATCGCTTCGTTTCCTTTCCTCCTCACCTCCTTTTTCTTTGTTTCTACTCCACTCTTCTTTTATTTATTTTAATTTCATTTCTTTTGACTTTGTTCCTTTTCTTTCCTGTTACACCTCTTCCCTTCCTTCAGTTCACTTTCTTGTTTCCATTTTCTTTCCTTTACTTCCCTTTTCCTTACAGCCTTGTCTTTCTTCCCATCACCTCTTGTTGTTCTTTTATAATTGAACTTATTTATTTGACCGATTTTCTCCATCACTTCAGTTCCTTTCATTTGCGCCCTCTTTTCCGTTACACCTCTTCCTTCCCTTCAGCTTTCCTTTCACTTTTATACTTTATTTTAATTTCTCAGAACCTTTTCCCTTTACTTTCACTTCCGTCACTTCCTTTGTTTGAGACTATTTCCTCTTTCCTTACAGCTCTTCCTTTCCTTCCCCTCTTCTTGATTTTTTATACTTTAATAAAAAAATTTTGATCTCATTTCCATTACTTTCAATTTGATCACATTTACTTGCTGTTGTCTGTTCCTCAATTATTTCACTTCATGAATCTTTCACTTCATTTGCTTTCACTTTCCTCATGTTTCTGTCACAGCTCCTCCTTCTTTCCTCCTCCCTCTCCTTCTAATCTCTTCATCTAATCTCTTTTTTTACGCATCTTCTTTTATTTTCCACTTCCTTTCCTTTCGTGTTGACTCCCCCTCTCTTCCTCTCCGCAGTCACATGTGTATGGTGATGCGAGGCGTTCAGAAGATGAATAGTAAAACCGTCACCAGCACCATGTTGGGAGTTTTCAGGGAAGATCCAAAAACCCGCGACGAGTTCCTGGCGCTTATCAGGAGCTGAGGACGACGAAGCTCTTCCTCCACACGCCTGGGGTTACCTCCACCTTCACGGACCAGCTGTCATGTTACTTGTGTGTGTGTGTGTGTGTGTGTGTGTGTGTGTGTGTGTGTGTGTGTGT